GTCAGGAGGATTATTGCGAGTTCATGGCCACCCTGGGCTACACAGTGAGACTGTCTCAAAAAACAAAAAACATATACATATCAGTTAGACAAAGGACATGAACCATTAAATTGAACATGTTTAAAATAAATAGGACACACACGTGTAAATACCAAACAGCTTCTCTAGGGTGAGAAACTGAAAGTGTAAAATTGAACAGTTTAAATTCTAAGTAAAGTTGGGTGTGCCGGGGAGCACCCATGATCCCAGCCCTCAGGAAGCTGAGGCAGGAGTATCATCACTAGTTTGAGGCCAGCCTAGGCTATATAGTGAGATGTTGTCTCAGAAATAAATTAATTTTTAAAATTCTAAGTAGTTGAAAACTTTTAATGATTTGAATAGAAACTTTCTGAACTATTATGGAAGGTGTTTATTAGATATTCTCCATCAACAAGGAGGACAAAAGCAAACGAAAAAATCTTAAATTGCAGCAAGAGAGATTTAGTTTTGACATATTCTAACTGAAAATTAATTATAACACTAAGAGATACCAGCCAAATCTCTGCCCTTTGGGATACAAGAGTAGGACCCACAGTTTTTTTGGAAGAACTAGATACAACTTTGTAGCAAAAGCTGGAATAAACTAGAGAATCTTTGAAGCCAGTTTCCAGTTTAGAATTCAACATTCTATATTCCTATCCAGAGTCAGCAAGACATTCCACCTATAGAAAGTTACCCTAATCTACAAGACATTTCAGTCTGGCTTTTGGATATTGGGTTTACTTTGCACCACACCATTTATTCTCTTAGAAAATGAAAACTACCAACCTTTATTAAGAAGCAGTCCACCAATATCCAGGAGTGCGGCTGGAGGTTCAGATATAAACACCACAGAAATACTCAAATGAAAACAATACTTGGTTCTAAATTAAACAAATAGGGCTGGGTAAAAGCTCAGTGGTGCTGCCGCAAGGTCCTAAGTTCGATCCCCCATAAAAAAAAAAAAAAGAAGAACTCCTAAATTAAACAAATAGAAAAATCTACACAACTTTTATCAACTTTAGTAAAAAAAAAAATTGTTACATTATATAATTTACAAGGCAAAAACATTCAATAATTTTTCAATTTTCAATAATAATAATAAATGCTTACTTTTGAAAACAAAGATAATTTTTCCAACTCTGGCTTCATTTTAGATTAATAGTCTTCATTTCAAAACAATGATTTTTAACTTACTATTTTTAATACCCATCAGACAATTCAATGGTGGTTATTTATTATAACTCAAAGGAGGCACTTTATAAAGTCACGGAAAGGTTAATCACCTCAATTTCAAAAGGTTAACCACTACAGCAAGTTGAGGGGGTTTTTTTTCCTAACCTGTATTAGGGCTATCTCAAGAGTTACCAAAGTTAGACATTAAATGACACCTTTTCTGCCCCAAGGCAAGGTCTCACTATGTACCCTCAGGGTGGCCTTGAACTCACTAAGCAGCTCAGGTGGGCCTCTCAAGGCCTCAACCTCAGGACTGGTAGGATTACAGGCGTGCACCACCATGCCTGTCTTAGTCTTTGTATTTACTTCAGTAATGCTCACATATTTGATTAAGTATACATTCATACATGCATGTCCGTATATACTCAACTACAAGTTATTATGACAAGTACTGTATTTGTTTTCTAAAAACTCTGTCAAGATTTAGACAACATAGTAATCAAAGTATGCTATTGGATTATGCAGCAAATTAATTCACATAAGAAAGAAAACAGGCAGGAAAATCTCAGCACTTAAAGAGACACACCTAGGGCTGCGGATTTAGCTTAGTGGTTCCACCGCCTGCCTCGCAAGAGGAAGGTCCCAAGTTCGATTCAAGGTACCAAAAAAACACACCTAAATCCCAGCATTTAAGAGGATCCTAAATTCAAGGTCAGCTGAAGCTTCATAGTGAGTTCAAGGCCAATTTAGACTGCAGAAACAAGACCCTATCTCAAAACAAGAAAAAGAAAAAAAACTCAAGCCTTCCTGCTCTTAGTTCACAAGTTTCACTTTATAAACAAAAAAAATCCCTTCTATAGCCAAACTTTAGGGTAATCTGACTTACAGTTGAATTATCATTTATGTGGATACATAAAGGGCTACAGACTTCCAAGTGCTTTAAAATCAGAACATAGGGCCTGGGATTTATTTCAGAGGCACAGTGCTTGCCTAGCATGCCAGAATCCCAAACTCTGAAAAAAATTACAATTTTTAATGGCTCATTCCTTTGCTCAGAAAGGTTATCTTGTTTTATACATTGATAAATCATCATCAGTACACATGCTACTACTCCATGTCTCTGAATTTAATAGTTTAAAAACTCAAATACAGGCCGGGGATTTAGCTCAGTGGTTCCGCTGCCTGCCTCGAAAGCACAAGGTTCTGAGTTAGATCCCCAGTACCAAAAAACAAAACAAAAAAAGATCTTAAATACAACCTGTAATCCCAGCACTCTGGAGGCTAAGGGAGGAGGATCATGAGTTTGAGAACAGCTCAGGCTTCATAAGGATTTCAAGGCCAGCCTGGACTACATAGTGAGACCATCTCAAAAAACAAACAACACAACCAAACAAAAACCCCTCGAATAAGGCCAGGGATTTAGCTCAGTGGTTTCGCTGTCTGCTGCACAAGTACAAGGACCCGAGTTCAATTACCAGTACCAAAAAAAAAAAAAAACCTCAAATAGAATCTTTAAAAACTGCTAATAGGCATGATAGTGCACATATGTAATCCCAGCTACTCCAAGAGGAGAATGAAAAATTTGAGGCCAGCCTCGGCAAGTTAGTGAGAACCTGTCTCAAAATAAGAACACTTGCCTACCATGAAGGAGGCCTGAGCACAACCTCTAGTACTAAAGAAAATATCTTTATAGCCCAAGTATATTTTAATTTTCTTACCCACACTGGCTCACCTATTCCTCACTTTTCACAATACAAAAAAAAAAAAAATCTCAGGTGTTACGCATATACCTCAAGCACATAAAATTCATTAGATTGGCTTTGTAGCCGTAAAATTGTACAGACACTGACTCTAAAAGAAGTAAAAACATATAGAATAGTGTTTAAATGGTCCAATTCACAAGAAAGTAAGGCGAAATAATGATCTTCCCCTAGCAAATGGGTGGGAATAATATGCCAAGTTTCCTATGCTGAACAAGAAAGAAATAAACCTCTGGGGTGGAAACAAGACAAGCCAAAAACTCACTCTCCTCAAGATATAACTTCATTTTAAAATTTCACCAAAGTTTCTCTCGGTGTGTTCAAGAACCCCTATCACACTCTTTGGTGGTCAGAAAACGACACTAAGCTACATTTCCCTGCCTGAGCTTATCTGGACATAAAAGATATTTAATTCTAAAGACTATCTCCTGCATTTAGTGTCTGTCTCTAAACATCTGGAAATTCAATTTCATTCTTGCTATAATAACTAGCTTTTAAAAAAAAGATACCGCACAGGAAAAAAATTTTACACATCACCTTGGTTCCGTACAGCTACAAGGTTCTCATTTAAAGATGAGTACTCATCCCTGAGAGCTGGGTGAAGAATGGGATAAGAAGTAGGCTTACAAGCCGGGGATTTAGCTCAATGGTGCTGCCACCTGCCTCGCAAGCGCAAGGTCCCGAGCTTGATACCCGGTACCCTCCGAAGAAAAAAACAAAACTCTGGGCCACGGATTTAGCTCAGTGGTTTCGCCGCCTACTGCGCAAGCGCAAGGACCTGAGGTTCGATCCCCGGTACCCCCCCCCCCAAAACCAAAAAAACTAGGTTTACAGCTTTTTCTGGAATTGCTTGAGGCGGTCAGTGACGGGGAAATAAAGGGGAGTTTGAAAAAAAAAAAAAAAAAACAAAAACAGGGGAGTTTGGCTGTGCAAGTGATGCCAAGAGAAACAAGATTCCACATGTCAGGAGACTAAATGCCCAACACAGAGCAAAGGGCACTCACCCCATTGCTGTTTTGCCCGAGACAGATTAGCTGCCTCACCTGAAAGACTTTCAAAGGAACTCAATGGTCTCCACTCCGTCCCTCACCCGGAGTGAACTCAACAGCCCCTACACTCAGAGGACGGGGAAGCTCTGCTTATCACAAATGCCCAGGGCTGCTTCCAAAGCCAAGAAACACTTCTTTGCGAGTGCCAAAGTCTTCGGGCCCAGTTCAGTCATCTACAACCTAAATACAAGCCAAAAGAACTTGGCTCCTCGCCTAAGTTAACTCTCCATTTCCCAAAAGTTCCATCAACCTGTTTTCTTTCAAATAAACCCCTTTCGACTTCAGGTATCCTGGAGATCCTTTCCAAAGTTCTGTAGTTGAACCCTCTGCCCCGGGCTCTAGTCCCTTTACAAAGTTTCCTCTCCTAAAATCTCCTTTCCTCCCTTTTTTCCTAAGGTTTTCGCCCCAGCCTCGTCCCAAGTCTAACATTCCTGGCCCTCCATTAGTAGATACCACTCCTGCGAGGCCCAACTCTTCCCAAGTCATCTCTCTCAAAATAATCATTTGCCTTCCCCCAAATATTCTCTTTTTCTTGCCTGTCCTCGATGGAAACACACACATGGAACTCCTAACTCCCAAATCTCTCCCGTGCCCTAGGTTCGTCCACGGCAATTAACAACTCTCCCCAGACTTTCCTCCCAATCTCATCACTCTCCAAGCCCCCAATCATACTTTCCAGACCCGTATTTCCCGTGCTTTTTACTCCCAGGCAACACCACACGCGTCTCCTCCCAGGTCTACCACCTATGCCTCGATGCCCAGGCCTCCTGCCCTAGCCCCACGTTCCTCGGGCCCTAATTCTCCGCAGAACCCCGCGAACTGCTCCCCCCGCCCCCCCGCGCCCGGCCCTGCGGTGCCGCAGCTCCCAACTCTCCTCCAGTCCCGCTCAGTCCCCCAATTTCACCGCTGGGCTCCGCGGCCCGCCCGCCGCCGGCTCGGTGTCCCCTCCCTTCTCTTCCCCGGGGCCCCGAGGCCGCGGCGCGGCGGGGCCGCTCACCAGTTGGTCATGTCCAGGAAGAAGGCGCAGCCGGCAGGGTTGAGCTGGAAGCCGAGCAGCCGCTGGAACTCAGAGATGAGCACGTCCTTGTCGGTGGTGCCCAGGCAGCTGAACTTCTGCATCAGCTCGGGGTCCAGGTCCACGTCCATGCCCTCCATGGCGGGGCC